TCTGCCTTCTTTCACCATGTTCGCTCGAGCGTAGGCCGAGAACAATAGCTGAAAAGCAGGCCGAGGATCTCAATTTTTCCGGCGGCTGTGCCCCCGTCCCGGCGCGAAGGGGTTAAGAAGTCTCAACTACATTGTGCAACACTGCAATTGTTACCACTGTGTAATGATGCATGAGTCAGTCTTATAATTGTATAATGTACATGGGTTGATTCACAGGAGTACTGAGGTCTGTCCACGTGGGTTCGAGACCTCCGACTGCCACGGACAGGAAGGAGAGCAAGGGGCGTGAGAATGTCTTGAGGAGGGGTCCGCAAGGGGTTTCTACCTTGGATCCTAACTCTGCTATGCAGGCACAGGCAGCCTCCCTCACAGCGTGGTTGTCTGCATTCGTCTGCTGAATGTAATAATCCACCTGATGACGGAACAAATTCACAAAAAATCACAACCAGACCGTATATGTCACAGCCCCAGTGGTGAATGTGCTGTATGTACACAGGTGAGTTAGTTTCTGTTTCACGTCCCTAAGGTGTTGCCTGTTGGTCCCCTAAGCGCCACTATTGAAGTCAAGACCTCGAATGAGACCCTGCCCAAGTCGAGTGCAAGGTGAATAAGGAAAGTTTGTCAGTGCCTTATCTTTGTGCATACGGTACAAAAGAGTTCTGATTCTGTGATGTTCAAAAGGGTTAAAAAGCAACAATTTAGAAGACGAGGCAATCTGAATTGGTCTAGGATTTTCATCAAAGTCTTTAAAAAACCTTGGGTGCTTAAACCCTCAATGGTCTAGCATTTTCATCAAAGTCTTTAAAAAGCCTTGGATGCTTAAACCCTCAAAGTACTGAGCCCTCTGATTTCAATATCATTTTACACACAGCCTGGGAAATTAACATGTCATACATGTAAGGTTAATATAACTTGTTCATGTAATAACTCACTGTGAATTTTACAGAATGCTGAGTATATTTCAAAGATGAACTCACCATATCCGGCATGTTTGCCTCCACCAACTGTTTGCCCTGATCTCCTGTCACCTGCCTCCAGGTGTTCTGGGAGTACGTCCTCACACCTTCAGCTACATAATACCTGTGCAAATTTCAATAAGACGGGTTTTTTTTATTTGAACATAAAGTGGCTTCAATGCTTCTCAAGCCCTCCTTCCTGGGCCTCGAATATGTTACAGAGATTGGGAACCAGACTGCTAAGTTTGTTTAGGAAAAGGCCATGTATTTTGCCTGCTTCCTCCTCATAACTAGGAAATGTAACCCAACTGCCAATATAACAGGCTGACCATAAATGTAAATGAGATGCATGAAACTGAAGCACCAGTCTAGCTTCAGGAAATGAAACAACGATCTGAAAAACGGCACTTCACAAGTTGCAGAGTTTCTGATGCCATTCTGTTACAATTTGTTTGTCAAATAATGTCACACACCAGTCTTGCACCTTGACATCATGCGTTCTATTGGCAAACCATATGGAGACTAGGCTCCGGGGGGGGCACTTGTGCACGAAGCTGATGACTACTCACCTATTCAAACACATCCGCGGCAGGAGAAGAGGAAAAAACTTCTCTCTGCTCTCGCTGTTGGGGAGGTTGACGAGGAAATTCCTTGTGGCCACCGAACTAGAAAGTCTGACCTAAAAAAAAAAGAAACTCAGACATAAAGTCTCCTATAAATCCTGACAGAAAGTAAAATAGGGAATTAATGATGTTTAGCACGCTGGACAAATGTGGATAAATGTATTACCGGGGATTTCTTGAACACTGGTGTCCATTAATCGGTACTCATCTACCTGCACTCACATGAACCTGACCCTCAATGTACCCCGGTACACGTGCATGTGGTACTGTACATTTCTGATATGTGGTGATTATTATTACATCTTGTCATGCCAACATTTCATTGCTGTGTCTGCAGCAGCTCCTTGTCTTAACCACTTCCTGCCGGGGCAGTTACCAATGTTGATGATGCTGGGCCGGGATATTCATCATTTTTTCCTGTTTTTCAAAATTCTTTAAAAATTCCTATCTTCATTTACTGGCCACTTACATACACGTGAAGGACTGTCTGGCTCAAGTCTAGCCTGACAGACAAAATCTATTGACGTCTAAGTATTTCAGCCAAGCCTGCAGCCTTGTAAAAAGAGCCCAGATTGTGCGGTGTTATATAACTTTCTTTTGTTCACGAACCTTGCTCAGTGTGCTGCTGACCTCTTTTCAATAGGGGCCAGATTAGCATGCAGCGGTGCTGTGTGGCTCATCGCTGCGGTGGTGGAGTGCATTTCTCCCCGGTAGTAATCCGCTCGCTCTAAATGCCCCAAACCGTGGTATACTGTTTCAAAACAGGGCTGGATTGTCTCCACTTTTGAGAGTGAAAAAATGTCGGTAATTCCCAGCAGCCTGGTCATTTGTTCAGAGTACGCTCTTTTGTTACAAGGCCCTGTTCCCTTTGTCCGAGTTCAGAGACCCTGGCCACGCATATAAAGCATACGTGTCCAGATCCAGAATCCCCAGCAGGGAGTGGTTAAAGCTGTACAGCTCAAGACTGCCAACTTGCCACATAAGGCAGATTCAAACACAACAACCAGCTCTACCTGAAGAGGTACCCACTTGTTCTCAGGTAAAGAGAAGTGCCCTCACTGCTGAATTCCTACAATGACTTACTGGTACATGCTCAAGACTGCCGTTTGAGAAGCCTTGAGTGAGATCAATCAAGGACTACGACAATTCAACTAACTCTCAGTGAAGTCTCCTGCTGACTCAACAATGAATGATTGAGTCTAGTCAACAATCTGGGAACAACCTGCGACAGTATTAAGCTACATGTAAGTCACCAGTATTCAACAGCTGTGTACTGTACATGTACCAGGGTAATAGGGAGAAAGGACACACCACCAACACACCTTACCGATCTTCAACTAGAGTCTGACCTATGACATTGTTGGTTTGTTACCTTGTTGCAGAAGGTCACGGTTTGCCATAAACTAACCACACGTGAAGCTGTGGTACTTGATCAAGGTTGCCCCCGGGGGAGCCATCTTACTAACCTGACTCCAGTTGTCGGCTAGCCCCTCTGCAAGATGTTTGGCCACCTGATCTCCGTACTGCAAGACTGGGTTGTCATCAGTTAACTCACAACAAAGATCCATTGCTTCCTCTCCGTTATCTGAATAATTGCACCAATATTAAAAAAAAATTCTTTATCTCTTTGAACAGAATGGCAGGGCGTGTGCAGTGGTGACAATAGATTTTATTCATGACCTTGTTACACTTAGCAAATGAGTTCACTAAGGACAAAAGATCAACATGCATCAACAGCCGATGTCCTCTGTAATCGACATACCTGGTGTTGCTCCACAGCTGACAAGAGAAGACATGACATAGTACCCCGTCTCCCTGACAAATCGGTTCGTGTGGGTCAGCGTCTGAAAGATGAGGTCAAGGAGATCCTGGGTGATGAAAGGGATAAAGTGAGGACCGCAACCATTGATGACGGACTCTAAGCACCTGCAACAGACAAAAGGCAAGAAGACGCCAATTTTAGTACCTTAACTCCTACCTATTCATGATTCAGAGCGTTATTCTCACGACTCGACTCACCATCACTTGCCAATCACTAGTTTTCCGTTGATCTGACCCGCATGCATGGCATGCAAAGATCCACGAACAGGTCAAGTGCACGAGTAGTACCATAGACTGTCACCTGTCTTACATGTACCCAGCTGACAGCCTGCAAAGCATGCATTTCACAAAGCAATTGTGGAACTATTGCACAGGGATAACACACACATATTGACCTCGTTCTAGCTACACGTAGAAAGTTAGTGGTACACATAAATAATAATAAATGTGTTGCTGCGCTTAATGATGGCAAATGTACGATGCACGGTAAAACAAATACACACATCACATGGCTTATTTCGCAGAGCGAGTTGATATCACATGCACATGTACATATCAGTGTATACAAGTAGCTCCCCTAAGCATTGGAAGATGACAAAGTACATGTATGCCAGCTCCTTTCAAACTAGTTGTGAAGCCAATGGGACTAGCTTAAACATAACTGGTACATGTACAAGTACTTGTAGGCTATCAATCTGAAAGATACTGTATAGTGCGTGGATCTTTGAAAGCGTACCATGTAAACAATAGATATTGCGGTAGTGACTCGCACCTGATGGCGAATGTAGACCAGTGAGACATCGGCTTTCAATCATGAATATGTATGAGGTATGGTCACAGACAAGACACTGAAAATCAATCGATACTTTTTACTAATCTTAGTTCCACAGATCAGTCTTGCTAGAAACCTTCCTGAATCCCCCCAAAATCTCCTCTGTGCAAGATCTCACATCCTTTGTTCCGACATGTCACACTGTTGCAATTTGGTTCGTTCTTCTTCTGATGGCAACTCTCTCCCCACACGCCTTACACACTGATGTTTGTTATCAGACTGCAACTCACTTCATCCAGGTTTCCAGATTTTTCCAGCCCGCAGTGTCGTGGAAAATCTGCTCTGCTGTGGCACTCCCTCCCTGATGGGGAAAAAACAAACAAAATAACGAATGAGTCTTTAGTGAACCATGTGACAATTATTATTGTCTTCATTTGGCATTTTGGCTTTGATGAGGGAGGTATCTTTGTAACACCCTAGGGAACACATACATGTACGTGTACCTCCCAAGGTGAAGTTGAGGGGTTAAAAATGGCATATCCCACATCACAGCAGTCAACAACTGTTTTGTTGCACCTTGCCAATCAGACAAACGATACATGAGTATAATTATGTTTATAACTTTGAGTCCAAGAAAAAAAGAAAGGGATCCATACATGTACATTTAAAAACTGTAAGTCCACTGTCACACTTCCGTACCTGCTCGTGTTGAATGACCAGTTTCTCCATTAGGACGTTGGCGCTGTCCCTCTGGCCCGGGGGCCTCTCTGAGAGTGGGATGCGCTCCAGGTTGCTACGTACCCCGTCATGGATCAGCTCGCTGGCCGACTGGTATACATCGGTGCCATAACGCTTGCACAGGGCACCTAGCACCTCGCCTGAAAAACCAAGGGGTGAGATGGGGGGTAAAAAGAAATCCATAAAACATCTCCATGTATCTACAGTAACTCAGTAGTTTGAAAACGACAGCAAATGAAATGCAACAATACTTCGGGAAAATACATGTACTGTACATGTATGTACATGTATTATTGTGCAATGCAACTGTATCAGGGCCATTCTAGCACAACGTGTGTGACCTTTGTAAGCAATTTTGATGTGTGTTTAATTAAATACATTTTTTGTTTCTGAATACTTTTGCATTTGAGCAACATAGTAATCAGCTCCAGGGGAGAACTTGTATTGTGGTTAATCATTCTTTCCAAATGTCTCTGAAAGTTTCATTGTACAGGAACTAACGTAACCGTAACGTATGTGACATCAGACGATTGCAAATATCTGACTCTTAATTTTATTTTGTAAGCCTCTGTGAATTGGCTCAATTTGTTCAATTAGTTCAATTTTTGCACTTTTAATGTACATGTAGAAAAAAAAATAGTTAGGCAACGTGTGTGACCAGAAACATTACGTGTGTGACAATTGGCTCATTATTGTTTGAGGGTGCATTTTTTCAGAATTTCCAAAACACACAAAGTCACGATCAAATTACAGTGCCCAAAGAAACTAAATGTTAAAACCAACACTTATTTTAAATGCACAAGGAAGAAATCCATTTGTAGTGCACATACATGTACATGACCCTGCTGGTGCCTAAATGTACATGTACACAAGGTATTCCAACGTATTGGTACACGTACATGAGTAATGAGCTGAAAGTCTTTTCACAGCTTGTAATTGTAAGACACTTAATTTAAGATGAAATGTTACTAACATTGAGAGTTTCCACATTATTTACAAGTAGATGAACAAAGTGTTGGTGCTTTTGACAGAATTCTTATTGAGATGTACATGTAAATTTCAAAGTACATGTATGCACATTAATGTTTCTTATGATTTACAAATTCAGATCTGTAAACATTTTCTGTCACAATGTGCGCCTGGATTGGAATTTGCTGATTGGTTTTTAGATTCGTGCATTTATTTGGGAACTTACATGTATATGTGAGGTTTCATCATCAAATATTAGAATATCAATAAAAAATCAAATATTCCAAACACATGACATACATGTACATATACCTAGGCATTTTTGAAGTCAAAAGTCCAGGTATACTGGATCTCACACCACAAAACAGGTGAAATGTAAAAAATTGAATCTCACAGTCAGTGACCTGTGTACACCTAAGTCCCATCCCCTTCTCCCTCCCTCCCTCAAGAAAACCCCTGCCCTCATGATGCATTGAGATTTTTTTTAAATGTTACATGTAGGATATATGTATAATCCATGTACATGTATTTTGTCACACCCCAAAATTTAACTTTTTAGTGACAAAATTATTTAGCCTGGAATTCAGAAAACCAAGGTAAGACTTTGATGCATTTCATGCCACAAGATCAGAACAATTTAAACTGGGTCAAGCAACATGTAAATCGGGCTCTGTACCGGTACGTGTAGATTTATGGTGCTCCTACATTAAGAATATTGTGTCAAATTAGTAATTACACATACTGTACACGTACTGTTCCTGAAATAAAAGGGACCCTTAGGCCTAAATATCTCCACACTTCAACTGCCCACTGTTTCCTGTGACATCAGGTGGAGTGATTTTCCTCAAACTATCTCTGGTCTATGGAACAAAAGATCCCTGATCTTTGATGCCCATTTCCAGAATCCACTAGACTTTTTACATTGCATCAACTTACGGTAACTACCGTATTGTCATTGACTACTGATTCTACATGTACAATGTACAATGTACCTTTTCTGGATATTCACAGCCATCTTACTCAATAATTACCCAATCTCCTACACCGAACCCACAAGGTATTCGTTCAGTACAAGGGGGGGAAGTTGTCAGCATCTGCACTACTTGAACATGTCAAATGGGGCGCTGGATAAGGTACCGTATGTTTCAAATTTGTATGCAGTGTCTATTGCATAACATTCTCTAGGCCGTCCCTTGTCTGTTCTGATTGGTTAAAGTTTTGGCTTATACTTGGTCATGCATTAAGAATGTGATCTGCAGGAATACTGCACTGGTCACACACATAACAGTCACACGTGTAACAAAAATGTAACATGTGTGATCATTGTAGTTTTCAGTATTTATAGAGTTCAAAAAAGCAAATTCTTCTTTTACCTCAGTAATATCATAGGCCATATGAAAATTTTTTATAATATAAAGTACTGGTGTGACGTCTTTATTTGACAGCCAAGCCTTTTTATTAAGAGTTTTATGCATTTTTGTTACGTGACATGTGCTCAGCAACAAATCACAAACTGATCTAGAACCCCCCAAAATAGTTTTTTGTTTCACCTTGTGATAAAATTTGTTGAAAATACTCCCAATGAATTTATTTGTATCCTCAATGAATAAAAGTTAATACAGCATGTGCACATTCAATGGGAATTAAAAAAACACCTTTTTAGTGCTGAAATTCCCCAAAATGAATTATTAGTTGTGTTTCCTATTACACTGAAAAATCAATTAGGGCGGTTGGTTGGGTAAAAACTTTTTTTATAACCCAAAAAATTAGGGTCGGATGCGGGTCTGTATTTTTCCGGGGGGGAGGGGCTGGTAAAGTTGTAACAGGTGCATGTACTAAGTCGGTGTCAGATTAATACTGTACGTGTGCCACGAATTAATCAAGCCAAAGATTATTCCATTGCTGTCCATCTCATGCCAAAAATTTACAAATAAAAACAATACAATGTACAGGATGATGCACAAGAAATTAGGCTTGGGGCAAGGCACCATAAGTTTTTATATTTCATTGATTTGTTGAATAAAACGATACAGGTTCTGCATAATTTTCTAGGTTGGGTCAGGTAACCGGAAACACAGCTATTTTTTGGTCTGGCCTCACAAAAATTGACATTTTACTACATGAATCAAATACCAACATTCAGCCAGAGATTGTTGGAAAATTTGGCTAATTCAGGCTTATTTTCCAGAGAATGGCCCTCAAGGCATGAATTCTTTCACAAGTGGCAATGTGAATCTTCCGCTTCTTATTTCTATAAAGTGCAAATAAATTACAGATGCAGCAGGACCGGATGATCATACATGTACCGTACATGTACATGTACCTTCTAATAATCCACAACTTGGGAGCCAAATAATCCTGAGAAATCAAACCCCTTAAAACCACACCACAAACCAAAACTCCAATGGAACTTCGGATTCCCCCATTGAGTGCCTATGATACACACTACAAGCTCAAAAGCCTGCACAAACCTATGGAGGGAAGGCAATGAAGGGATATTCATTTTAGAGATACTAGAGGAGGAAAACCCCAGATAAAACAGCCCCGAATAAACAAATGGCACCAGCACAGGGATTGAAACTCCCAACCACACGTCAGCCTTGGTGGGATTTGAAATGGGTCACAGAGGCAGCTGATGGCAATGGCAAGAAAGTTTAAATTACCAGAATTCTAAACCATAGATCAAACCTCCATGTACATGTAATAACTTTATTTTCCAACTGCTTACTGTAAATGTAAATGGATGTACATGTACATCAAATTCTAATTTCACCTTGGCGTTAATGACACAATACATCTACAACATTTACATGTACATACCGGTATAAGCTGAAAAGTTGGAAGAGGTCACCGGAAAATGTATCCATCGGTCAGTTTATGACTTACTGGTATCATAAAAGAGTCCTCCTCTCCCATTATGTAATTTAACCTTCTTCTGTATTTATGGGTTTTATCTCCTTCTTTATTGTCTTTTATTTGTCTTCAAATATTACAATTTTGGTAACTGTTTGCCGTCAACTATTGCCATATCTTGTCTGTCCCTTGTTTTTCATCTTGTAGTTACTCGTGTTGTAGTTCTTGTCACATGTACAAGTACGTCGTTGTTCTCATTATGTCTTACATGTACATGTACAATGTACATGTACGTCTTAAGGGCTGCTTTTTATAAGCCTCAGTTTATTCAACAGCCTCATGCTCTTTTTTGTTCTGTTTGTACAAGGACTACACTGTACTTTTCTTTATCTCATGTTCTAATGTTCTTTTTTTCATCTGAAAAAAGTTGCATGTACATTGTACATGTACGGTACATGTACATGCATGTACACTCACATTGCTAATTTCTATGTACCAAGTTTCCTTAATTAATGACATATTTTGATTTTCTGAAGAGTATGGAATAAATGTCCTCTTGAAATTGAAATCCTACATTTGTATAAGTGCAATGATGTCCTCTTTTTATGACACCAAGAAATCCAATTTACCATCACAGATGACTGAGCACGAAGCAGTTCAATCAACCATGTCAGAACTGGTCGTGCACCAGATTCACCGTAGCCTAACTCAGACAATTCCTAGTCCATTTCTCCTGGCAGACACGCACAGGTCTCTTTGTTGCAACTAACGGACAGCCCTGATGTTCTTTGTCGGCCTGAGTGAGCCTTGTTGAGATTCAAGTCTGTCCCCTCCCTTTGGTACTTTTGGATGTTTTTCCAAATAGTCGACGTGGCGGGAGTGTTACAGTCAGGAAAACGCTGACCAAATGCATCTGCTACTTGCTGGAGGCTTTCAGTCCTCAACCACTTTGTTACCACAAACACATGCTGCTCAGTTGTAAGCTGCATTTTGCAGGACTGAGAAAATGAACAACCTTTCCAACTTTTAAGGAGTGTGCAATGAAACAACATGCTGAGGACTGCATAATTTGGAGTCCCAACAAAAGCCCTGCACTGGGCAGACAAGGTTCTTTACCAAAACATCTACAAGTGGTGGTTCATGTATCTGGTGCACGACCAGTTCTGACTGTACAATATAAAAGCCAAAGGTATTGTACTTTGGCTACCAGTCATACCAGTACATGTAGCCACTCACACCTGTCATTCAACTGCGAATCTAATCTCCAGTACAACTAATGGGCTGAAAAATCATACATTTGTGGATATTACCAGTAAAT